CCTATTAAATAGTTCCCAAATAAAATAATTTATATAAGGTCAATAACAATCCAATCTCCCAAATCACAAAAAGTGCGTGTTAAATCCAAAAATACATATATTTCCAATAATTATTTTCTTACTTTCTATTTATCAATAACAAATAATATATCCCTCCTAATTTTTTAAATTATGTATTTTCAAATCAAAATATTACCAACTTATAGAATATAGAGTAGTAAGGGCCCATTGCTTTCCAGCAATGTATGAGATAAAGCCTATAACAAGAGAGTAACAAAATCAGAGTGTACAATAAAACAGCAAAATCTTCAGCGACAATATCATCAAGTTCATCAACATTCTCGGCATCATTTGGCTCAGCATGCGCTCGCGAACGACCGCGAGTTTTGGACCACACATCTACGATATCATTATCTCGGCATGTTCTCCGCCCAGTCGTCGTTGCGCGTGGCAGGTGTAGCACGAAGTTGGGTCTGCAACAGCGCGCACATAGCCGGGCCTCCAGTAAGCACGCCGAATGCAGCACATTTACTCAAGAATAAGCCCGTCAGCGGCACGGCCCCTGCGACCGACACAACAATGCAGCTATGGCAGATGCACAGTATCGCATCCGAGCTGCGCCCTTGTCGTGTCTTGGCTGCGCATTGCAGAGTCGGAGCACGCGACAGGCCTCGATGAGCTGGCTCACCGTAAACTGGCGCGCATACGTGGTGTCGTCAAGTTTGGACCGGAAAGTTCAACATCCCCATCTCTATCTGCTGAAGTCCGGATAATCTCAAGCAGAAGGGCATAATGGGCGAGGGGCCTGCGCAAATCTTGTACTGCAGTGGCATGAGATACGAAATAACACAGCCGAGCATCTATATGGCTGGGCGCACTAGGCTTCTGTCGGATGCGTGCGAGCATGCCGGAGAGAATTCCATCAACGCCTCAAAGTCCTCGTAAAGAGCGTTGCTGTAAGATTTCCATGAATCGATCGTATGCTGTCTTATACGGCCCACTGTTCCGCCTCTTGGCGAGATTGGCAGTCCCAGCATGGACCGCATGAGAAGATGCTACAAGTCCAAGAGCGGCAGTTTCAGCAGGCGCGACATTTGATCCTGTCTCTCAGCGTGCCCCCAAAAGCCCAGAACACTCAACAAGCCTTTGTAAAGTGGCTAAGGCCATAGCCCGCCGGAATGGTTTTCGCTGCTGGGCAAGGCGCCCACAGACAGCTTTGCCCGCAGCTCCGCCGGCGCTTTCCGTACCTGATGCGGATTTGTGAAAAGGCTTGGCTGGCGGTCAAACAATGTCTGGAAAATTTGATGGAATATCGCATGAGCCGAGCTCTCAGGGTAGAGCCCGTGCCGGCAAGACATTTTTTTCAACTCAGGCACCAACATATTTTATCATATGTATCAAAAAATGTAGTCTTCGCATGCGAAATGCATGCCGTTCTCCAAACACAGGTCGCGAGATGCGACTGAGGGCCGGGCTGGTCGCTCTCAGATGCGCCTGGAAAAAGAGGCCTGCGTCGCTGAGGGCGGCCCGATAAGGTCACACCAAAGACCAGCCACGGACACAGAGACATGAGATACACTCATCGGAAAGTGCATGGCACGATGGTGCCACATTGGTACAGTGCAGGGTCGCAGTACAAATAAGCGTAGACAAAAATACAAACTATCATGGCTGACACCCAGAAATGCAAGGCGTTGGGCCATCGAAAAACACGTAAGGCCCCACATCCCTGGCCCACCCTATCTTGGGGAGTGCATGTTTGATTGCCTCTGGTTACCACTCCTGAGGGTGTACAGCTCCGCCATGATACCGTCACAAGCCTCGCAGCTTCGAGCGGCAACCAAAATGAGCCTCGAGCCTTTGCCTTGGACCCTGCCCAGGCAAAACACTTTGAAAGACTGCGCTCTGCACTGAGCTGGAGACCCAAATATCTAAAGGCGAGTTGCTCAGCAGCACCTCAGTGTACTTCCTAAAGCACTGCGATGGACAAAGCAAAAGTGTGCCTCAGGCGCCCGATGCCAGCATGTAGACACATAGTCAGTGAAAGGCGGTCACCTGAGCAAGGTGAGAACGGACCCGCGGGCTGTTGGCCTGACTCTTTATCTGGAAGACACACGGCTTCGTTCAAAGCCAGGACCATTTTTCCGAAATATCCCGGGTATTTCGATAATTTGCACTCCAGACCATTTTTCCGAAATCTTCCGGATATTTCGACAGTAGCATTCCCCGAAAAATTTGGAATATTTCGGGAAAACGGTCCCCGAAATGTTCGGAATATTTCGAGAAAACGGTGGGTGGCTGCGATTTTCCCGAAATGTCTGGAATATTTTGGGAAATTGGTCCCTACAAAAAAAGAAGCCACTGCATCTTCCGGATTATGGCCGGGGTAGCACGGACAGATTTGGGTAAGCGGTCCGTAGGAAATATGAAGCGGTTGCATCTTCCAGGGGCAGCCCGGACCAATTTTACGAAATATCCGGGATTTTTCGGAAAAGCGGTCCGGGAAAACGCGCGCAAGTGCGACGAGCAAGTTTCACGGTTTCGCTTTATAGAGTAAATCTAATTCAATCTATTTACTTTTAAAATTCATAATTCAATCAACATAAATATATAAATAACAAAAATAATCAAGTGTATAATAAACACATCAAAGTTTATAATTGTTTTTCGTTCTTTGTTCTTCTTCTCCATCAATATCCTTTTTATTTGCCAAGAGTAGTTGACAAGAGCCAAAGAAAGACGTAAACAAATATAAGAACCCATTTAGAATTCTGTTTTCGTGACATGGCAGCTACCGCGCGTTTGACTCTCACAATTCCCGGACCCCTCTCACGCTCCCGCAAACTGCTACGCATGTGGCAAATATGTTCCTGCATGTTCCTACAACTTGGTGTACTTTGTGACTTTGTGAGGCATCCGGCCACCCCGTCTAACCAAGGCAAAAGGGCGAACCAACTGACCCAACAAGCCGCCCAACCTTGGCCGCCCAATATCTAACCGAACAATCACCTTAGCAAATCCAAGCACGCCAACCAAGCCCAACCCACCCAACCAAACCCAACAAGCAACACCCAACACGAGCGCAGTACAGCCAAATGGCAAAACCGACAAATGCATGCCTCCTAGGCATGGAGATCAACATCGCCAGACACTTGTCAGTTGCCCGGTTGGGCTCTCTTGCCTTTGTTTCTTTGTTTTGGGGTCTGCAGAGCAGCTGAAGGGCGCCTCTTTTGAGCACGTGCCAGGCCGATGAGAAGGAGAACCGCTCTGCCAGGCCGCGCCTCCTTCTAGGAAGGCTTTTCGACTGAAAAGCGTGTGCCTGCCTATTGTGGTGTGTCGTTGAAGTAATTTCTGGGCGCAACGTGCGGTCAGGCCACTTAGATACTGGCGCAGCCTTGGCAAACGAGCGAATGCAAATTCACAGCGGGCTTTTCAGGCGCCCTTTCGGCTATTCCAAAGGCATGCTCTGGCAAACACAAAGCCCGCAGGCCAAAGGAATCAGCCAAGCTCATGCATCGGCATGATTGAATCATGCTACTCGAAAGGCTTGCGCCTCACAAGCACAGCTCAGATGTTGTCGTCTGTCCCACGCGCTAAACAAAAAGGCCAGTGACAGAGTTCTGCCCTTGCCTCACCTGCCCGCCTCGGAAGCCAGAACATTTTATCTTGTGGCTCACCTTTGTTGGGGCACCAACTCGGCAAACGAACGCAGGGCTTCAAAGCGATGGTTGCATTGACGCAATAGGAAGGAAGACTCCTGACTTATTTAGCAAGTCCAGCCCTGGCGGGAGAAGGTCTTGGATATGTGTACCATGAGGTGCATCCTTGTTGTGGAGAAAGCCAATCTAGTCCAATCAGCTCTCGCTGTGCGGTGAAACTTCTCGAATTTTGAGGTCGGCTTACTCGCAGCATCCCAGATGCCAGCTTGCCCTTGGGGGGTCATCAATCTCAGTACATGTTGCGTGTGCCAGTGGCTCCACATGCTGGCAACTGCACCCAGGAGGCATCGCAGTGGCTAGTTAGAATGGAAAACACCGCGCCGGACCGCTTACAGATTATGTTCTCTAGCTGTTCAAATGCATGTGTCTGTATGCAAACTCAATTGACTGTGTGTCTTTATGAAAAAAAACTGCATATCTACTGTGGCTGTGCTGAAAAAGATGTTCTTCCGAAGGAGCTAGATTCAATGCCTTGCCTTTTCAACCGTTTCCATGGCAGAACGGGTGCTGGCTTGGCTGGCTTGGAGCATTTAGCTATAACGTCGGGGGAACTCTTTTAATACCCCTCTTCAAGGCCAGCCAGAATAACCCCTGCCTTTACATGGTCATTGGGTACGGGCGCGCCATCAAACCACCGCAAACGCCGGAACAAGTGCTGTCCACAGCCAATAACTGGCCGAATCCGATCTGATCGTCGTCTACATGCAAAAAGAAACTGAGAAACAACTCCAGGAGTGCAAGCTTGCAAAAGCAAGCCACAGCTCGTGCAAATTTGGCCAGGATCTGTGTACCTTGCCACGGCCGTGCCTGAGTACCACGGGCCCCACTGCATGCGGGGCAAAGGGAATCACACATCTTGTGTGTAGATTCCGCAAAAAAGTGCGTCACTTCTTGCAGGTTGACAGGACATATGAGGGCTATCCAGAAAACTGAAGTCTAAAGATCCAACCCAACAGCTGTAGTGGCATAACTTTTTGTTGATTTACACATCTTGTTCAATTCATCGTGGCACGCTCAGCCGGCACTGTTGCTGTTGGCACGCGCAGCAAGCTGGGTGCCTGTCACGTAGAGGCATATCAAGTGGAAACAATGCCAGAAGTATGAACATGCTGCTGTCTGATGCGAGGGAAAGTGTAAGTCTGTGGCCACTGCCCTCCAGGGTTACCCAGCTGCTGCATATGTCTGACCAGGGGTTCAGCGGCTGGAGCGACTTAAGGGGCTGGCACCTTTTCACATGAAGCCAACAACAAGCGCTAGACAAACGCATAGAGTTGGCGTGACGTTTTGAACGTTTCCCGGTGCCAGCCAGCCCTCAGTCGTCTTCATCGTCGTCGTCTTCGTCGTCCGACTTCTTTTGCTCTCCAAAATGCTCCAGCTGGATGTTGAGCTTTTCTGCGACTTTCTCCGCAAAGCTGCCTGGGCAACTTGGGCGATGGGCCGATGAAGCGTGCGATATGCAGCTATTCGGACTTCTAGGCATGTCAGGCAGCCCAGGGACCCACATTTACACAACATCTGCGTGCTTCGACAATACCACAATCAGACTTGGTCACCATCTGGGCTGATGAGCTGATGGAGGTGAGACGGCAATCAACCGACGAGTGCCACTGCCGGTTAAACGCATGCCTGTTTCTTGCCGCAAGACCTGCACACCTGGCGTTGCTTGCCACTTTTCTCTTCCTCAAAATGACAGACATTTCTAGGTGGGTGATTTCTTGCATTTGTCCTGTTGGAAATCCCCAAGAGCCATAAGACAGGTCCACCATTTGAACTCACTTCCTGAGTGGGTTGAAAAAAAACACCTCCAAACTTTTGGGGTGTCACTGAAATGGCCACCAGAACTTAAAAGTGAGTTGAGATCCAACTCAAGTGAGTTGGCCATGGGTCATAACCTATGGCTCCATTTTGGGGCGGATGAACACCCATGTACCACCTATTTTGATGTTGAGAACCTCATCCGAGGTGCGGTGCTCGGCCATGAAGGAGGCAAGGTCGATGCCTTTGGCAGTCCCCTTGAGGCGTTCTACGCCTTTCACCAGTTCTTCCTCGCGGATTTTCGCGGCTCGAACGAATCACTCTTGACTCGGTTGCTTTCTGCTCCCCTGCTATAAGTGGCTAACTTTTAGTGGTTTAATGGAAAACCCACTAGTTGGAAAGAAGGTGAAGTCCTAACATCCAAGCAACATGCACCAAAGTTGACATTCTTGGGATCGGGTACTTAGCAAGTGGCTAGTAAGTCTGGTTGCAGCCTGGTTTTAACCCACTGAGGCGACTTATACTAGCCACTTACTAAGTACCCTGCCCCTTTAGGTGTGGTTAAAAGATGCGGTTGCTGTACTGGACATGGGGTGCTCTCTCTTACTTGGGTGGAAAAAAGGCGCGTTCCCTGTGCCTCCCAATTTGAGCACCCTGGACGTTGTTACAAAGTCTCAGGTGTTGCCTGAGCCTTGCCAGGCCAGGGACAATATGTTCTTTTGCGGTGACCTTTGTGCATGACAGGCTTCCCCTTTGAAGGCTGTTCTTCCATCGGGCCATCAATGCAACTTGCTCAAGGTGCGTGAATCGCTTGGGTCGCTTGGCTTGGCCCAAACATGCATTTAAGCACTGACCATCAAATGGTAGCTGTGGCTCTGCTGTAAGCTCCGCATCTCCGTCGTCCAAAAGGTTGAAGAGCATGTTGGGGTCCTGAGTCACTCCCTGCTTCACGGGTCTTTGGCAAACACCCCCCCCCCTCCCCAGGTCATTGACGTCAAGGCTTCCGAGAAAAGTTGCCACTGGACCTCAACAATTCTGCAAATGTTGCTCTGGTTTCAACAGCTGAATCAAAGGATTCCCAAGTAAAGCAACGGTACCATGGTGAGCGCGTTATACCTCCAGGTGAGCTCGAAATAAAATAGGCAGAACAATTTACTACTCGACACTTTCGCACCAGCACTTTCCAAAGGCGACAAAAACCAAAGGGTGTCGACATGGTTGACTGGCAGCAGTTGCGTATGCTGGCAGTTGATTACATTGCCGATATGCCCATGAATTGCGTCACAATTCCCCCCCCCCCCACCCAAACCAAACACAAAAACACAAAAACTAGATCGATCCTCCAGTCGTCTGGAGCTCAAGGTGCCCGAGATGCATATAGAACCCTTGTCAGTGTGTGGAGGTCTTTCAAAGAAGATGATAGTGGCGAACAAATGAACGGACGAACAAGGAAACAAACCATAACACCAAGAGACAAACAAACACACACACACACAAGGAATGGAAACGAGACTCGCATTGCTGGCGTTACACCCTGGGTCAGTGACCGCGGCGACATCCAAAAGGGGTGCCATGAAACTTTCACAGAGCCAAAACCATCTTGACGCGCAGTCAGGGGCTGTCCGCCTAACCATACTTCAGTTGTTTTACCAAGTTTGTTTTCAAGCTCATCGAGCCCCATTTTTCTACCATCAAAGTCGTCTAGGTAGGTCAAAGGGAACCAACCAGATTCGGAAAAGACGATGACCCCCAGAAACAGAACCAAAGTGACCCCAAGTTCAGGGCTCACTGGATTTCCGAGGTTGCAGTACTCACCAGTTTACATTGAAACGCTCGCTGGAGCTTCCAAGGCAATGCCTCGAAAAAGAAAACAACAAAAAAACGGGTCCCATGCTCGCGAGCTCCACCCATGGGCCGCGGCACTCGCACCGGAAGCTCTTGGGCTGCCAGCCACGTCCTCTGCACACTCAGGACGGAAGGGCCCACTGCTGTGCTTTCATGCTAGGCTACCGATTTGTGTTTTTTTGAGTCTTTGAAGGGAGCCCAAAGTGAGAACACCATTTGTGGACCTCACAAATCATTTCACCTAGTGAAATGGGCACCTGCATATGTGCAAACTTGCCTGACACCAGTTGCAGCAACAGTTGTTGCAGGATGTTGCAGGTCACCAGGTCAGAGCGAAGCAGTGTGTACATCTTTGGGATGCTTGGTCAAACATAGTCGGAGCTACTTGGGGCAAACTCCCCGACTTCCCCGAAACAACCCCAAATGACCTGCATCGAGGCAAGACAGGTCAAAGAAAAACAGTGGCACACCACGATCTGCTGTCCTTTGCGCGATTTTGGCACCGCGGGTTAGGGGCAACAGCGCAAGAAGCGTCGCTTCGACGTCAGGTTGATTGGGACTCCGTCGCGTACCCGGTGGCCCGGGGCGAGAAAGGGAATCCCTTGTTGTGGTTGTGGCACACAAAAACTGTTGAAAACGAGAAGCACCTTTCTGCGCAGAAACTTTCCTTGGTTGCTAAAGGGACCCCTCTGCAAGAAGTCTAACTGTTTGTGGGTCCAATGGAGAACCCACTGTTTCCCAAAACGTCATCTTCCAAAGATCCAACCACATAGCCATCAAGTTTCCGAAGAAGTTGGCACAAGTGCTTAGGGTGCAAGGTCCTGGTATTTAACATGAGCTTGCCTGCGCATTGCCAACACGAAGCAACCCTCAACCCCGAGGAGACTCTGCCAAACAATGCGTAGCCCAGGATTAATAGGGGGATGGAAAAGTAAGTACGTAGAAAGCACTTCCTTTGACATGCAACATGGGCGCTGCAACCTCAAACCACAGCCACCCCGAAACCGAACACTGGCCATCAATTAACAAACACATGCACACTGGCTGGCTGCCCGCTCGCAATGCACATACTTGTTGACCGGAAAAGGGTTTGTCATTCATACCCTGCTTACGTTGCCTTGTCTTGCAAGAGTCTTGCCATCCTCCCTCCCGTGACGCCCGTGCCCAAGATAGGATCACAAACTACTGGCAGCAACCTGTATTGCATGGGTAGACGAGGGCCGTCTGGCACACTTGTAGGTATGGGGGATGCTAGACATCATGTTGCAGCAACACTCAGGTTTGCCCATGCCGTGGGAATCCCAATTGAAAAAGGCCGGCATGGTGGGTACTCTGCCCGGCCTGACTTCCGGAATGTTCATGATTTCGAGGAACTCTTCACGATCCTGAGCAAAGGCCGTCTTTTCCCACGTGGTCTGCTTTGAGCAAAGTCACTGATCTGGCCCAGAACCAAGCCCAATGATGTCGGGGATCTCGTTTCATAATTTTGAGTGTCGTGGCTGGTGCTCTGCCCTCACCGTGCGGTTGATTCTGCACAGGTCCATTTGCAAGCTCACGTGCCATCATAAGCCACGCAAGTGGCTGGCAAAGACAGTTGCCATTCTCGGCAGGCCGCATGTGCAGGGCTTCCCCATGCGAGATCCGCACATGCCTTCGCCCCCTATGCCTTCCTTTGCCATGGTGTCCGCTGGCTTGGGCCGCCACCCCTGCGCTTCTGGACATGCAAACTCACGCCAGGCGTCCAAATAGCCATCACCAGACTCGTCAGCGGCCTGGAACAAGACCCTCATCTTCTTCGTGTGAAGCCAGCGGTCTCTCTCCTGGGCTGAAGTGGGGTGCCGTTCCGAGTTCTGACCTAAACACCTCGCACTGGAGCCCATGGCATGTCTGCCTCCCGCGAGCATGCAACAGGGCAGGATCAGCTTTCCTGACCCCCCCCCCCCCAGTTTGCCCATCAAGTCATCAGTACGGCCGTGAAATCATGTGCATCTGACCTGGCCTTCTGTCTCATCATCAGCTTGTCGTCGGACGCCGCCACTTTGAATGTCTCCTGCCTTGAGCAAAGTGGGCCGATCGGGTGAAGCGAATCCAAGAGAGACAGCCCTTAGGCTTAGGCAGCATTGCTTTTACGTGGCACGTACTGAATACAACCGCTACAGCAGCATTCAACGGGAACGGTGGCAGCTCAACGCAAAGGCTAGACAAACAAACCGCCCTGGAAACCATGATGCCATCACTGGTAACTGCGCCGGAAATAGCACTACTAAGCTCCGAACAGATTCACCCTACTCCCAAAGTTTCGAATGCTAAGCCCGCAGCTTCTGATAGACTCACTTGATCCAGTCTATAGTGCGCCTTTGTGGACCCCTTGGAAAGGTACTAGGCCATAACAGTACCAAGGGGACAGAACAGGTGAAATCTTCGAAAGGCGCATCCCCCAAGCTGATAAATGGCTAAAGGGCTTTCAACACATGAGTTCCCTAAGGGTAAGTGCCATCAGGTACCCACCCCCAAAAGCGTTTGCGTGACACTCGTGGGCTGCCCAACGAAGTGCTCAGCCAGTGTTAGGAAAAAGTTTAGCAAGAACTTCCCTACCCTGTGCTTTCAAGGATGTGCGCGTTGAGCGCGCAAAAGCCAAGAACAGCTAGAAAGTGGCAGGGGTAGAAGAGGGCAAAGCAGGCCATGTGAGTGAGATCCACTTTTCCGCATGTGCGCAAACCACCTCAGTCCGCCTTTCTTGAGGCTACCTGTGCTTCCGGTGTTCACCTCGCTCGCGCCACCTGCATACTTTCGGGGCTCCTTCAAACATTTGCTTCTGTTTTAATGCTTTTTGGTGAATCCTTGGGGTGTGGACCTTGAACAACTCGGTGTTGTGAAATCTTATTCTTGTTCAGCTCGTGTGGGGTGCGGGAAAGGCAAGAGAGAGCGAGAGAAAGAGAGAGAAAAAGAAGCCAAAGAAAGAAGAAGGGATAAATAAAGGGAAACAAGAAAAATAAGAAGAAGGAAGAATAACCAAAAAAGAAGAAGAAGAAGAAGAAGAAGAAGAAGAAGAAGAAGAAGAAGAAGCGAAATACAACAAGAAAGAGAAAGACAAAGAGAACGATGAAGAGAAAGGGAAGGATAATGGATTATAATGGAACTAGTCAGATCAGAATCCACCAAGTGTTCCTAGATCCCTCAAGACGTTATTTGAAGTCGTGCGACATAAACACGCCGTTGATGATGCCCACTGCCGCAAAGCCGATGATGAGCTTGTAGGCGACCGAGAAAATTGAGTAGTACTCCTAAGTCGTGTAGGCATACCTCTGAGAACACGTTACGTCACGTCCGCTTGTAAGGGCGCCGTAGATTTGTTTCAAGAAGGCGGAATTAGAAAGAGCACCCTGCCACATGGCCATGGGTCAAAATCCCGTACCCCCAGTGAACATCCCAATCCCCACTAAAATAGACTAAAATGGGTGGTGCCCCTACCCCAAAATGGTACGACAGGCTTTGACCCACAGCCACATGTCCGGGTTGCACCCAAACTGTTTGTTGCCTTGCGTCAAGGGGAGCGCATGGGAGCGCTTCAACGTCAGCCCTGGTCAGATGATATGGGGCAGAAACACCTTTAGCTTAAACTCCTTTCAACATGTACATCTCCCAAGTGCTTTTACCCAAGACAAATCAACAGGTATCACAAAGCGATATCTTTGACAAGGAGGACACCTATCAAAGCTCCTTGGCTGGAAAACTCCGCGCATCACAACCGCAAAACGCACAGGGAGCACTTTGGACACATTCTCACGATCTGAAGGCGGAGCCTGGCTAGTGCAACCAGAAGCTTATCCAGAGGGCAACCAAACAAGTCATGCAATCCAAGTGTCTGTGACATTCTCTTGCAAGATGCGGGCCGCCACTGGCCAGTTCCTCTGATCCATGGATTCTGCAAGTGTCGGGTCTTGTGTCAGGCTTCTATCCCTCAGTCGGCCCAGCCTAAATTGGTAGTTTCGGGGTGGTAGCTGAGGGGGCTTTGACTACGAGCCGCTCTTTTAGGATCTTATTGACCGTGGATCCAAACAACCAATTCTAGATTGCCTGAAGTCAGCGACGGCCAAAATGCCTGGGAATCTTCCAAAGGTCTAAATTCCAAACTACGCCAACAAGAAATGAAGAGCTACCTGATGACGTAATCATTGGACATGCACAAAGAACAACCCATTGCATGGCAACCATTCACTTGCCACATCGTGTGCCTGCCTTCCACCGTGGCCTTTGTCAAAAGCTAAGCTAACGGCGCGAGCGTGAGCTCGAACATGGTGAGCATGACCCGAGCTGTGGTTCCAAAATACTCGAAGACCTGCAGCTTTTCTGAAACCTCAGAGTGTGCACGCTGCACAAACTTTGCAGCAATGGACAAACCAAATCGAGCGGCGGCTTGCCCTGGGCATCGCAAAGTATGCAAGGGGCCAAAAAGCCATTGCCCTCAGCTTTCTACAGCGGCAGAAGTCGCCTGCGCACCTGCTTGACATTGGTTGGCATCATACCTCAAGCTAGGGCCACCTTCAACTTTTATCCAGCCGAGCGCGCAAATGGTTTGTGTGTGGAACGGGTGTCTTCCGGAATCCTTGTCAAAGCAGGCTTCCGGGGCCTCCTTGAGTCAGCTACTAAAGATACAGGACGTCGGCGGCAGGCACAGCAAGCTTGATATCAATCGGGAAAGCATTTCCTCATTAAGTGCCAAGGGCGGGGAGGGGGGGAGTTGCGGGGGGGTGGTTGGGGGGCGAGTTTCCTTGACGATGTGCCCCGCTTTGGGAGCAAAGTACTAAACACCTACACTCATTTAACAGAACACCAGTTCTGGGACAGAAGATGAAACAAGCAAACAGATGTTGCGAAAGTGCGAGTTTTTGGCCGGTGAGCAGCACACGCAAGCAGAAGCAAACGAGAATAACGGGCATCAGCGTCGCCAAGCCACCGGCTTGGTCTTGTCTTGGAAGTAGGTCTCCAAGGATTCGTTCAAGAAGAAGGCGATCATGATTTGCACCGTCATGAGAAGCCTCAATCAAACTTAAGCTGACAATGCACAAACCGTCAGGCGACACCAGTTCGAACTTGGACTTCCCGCCCTTTCTCACATTCGGTCAAGAGAAAAAGCTCGGAATCGATTGGAGCAAGGGCCAAGAGCCTTCAAGCTCGAAGGGGCAATCTAAGCATCCCAAGCGGACACCAAACAGGCAAGCGCCACTAAGACCTTGCCTACAGCGAAGGTTGGCGCCGTCATCGAAACATATCTGCAGCTCGAATGGGTTTGCTCCCAAACCTGCTGACATGTCGCGGTGTCAAATTGTTGCCTTTTTTTTTGCCAAGGCCTTTCTTGAAGAATGGGGACCCTTCGATCAAGCAATGGTCCTAACATGTGTGCCCACCAGAGCGTTTCTTGGTTTCTGTTGACCCCTCGGCAAAAAGAAGTAACTTTGGGTCCAATACGGAAAACCAAAAAGTTTAAGTCCAAAGATCCGTTACCCAACAGCCAGAAAGATTTCTCGCACAAGACAAATTACCGACGAGGAGCATAAAGGACCAAAAGAGGCAAACCGTACTGCCCATCAGGGCGGTGGTCATGATGTAGAGTGCGTCGAAGCCTGGCACGGCGGCTTGCCATGGAAGATCCAGCGGCATTGAGCTATGGAGGTGACGGGAGATCCATGATTGTGTCGTCTTTCGAGGGTGCCCTGTTCGGGGTGGTTCTAAAGACACCAATTTTTTGGGGGGTCTACAGTTCACACACAAACCCATGCCTACCTTTCCTCCTTGTGTGACTTTGAAATCAGCAGGGAAGGCCAGTCTTGCCTAAAACGGCGAGCCACTCTCAAGAGGGGGCCCAACTTCAGCGTTGGTCGTATGCATAAACACAACCAGCACCTGCCAACTGGCTCTTCCTACTGACGAGCCGCTGTTGCAACTCCAGCAAAAACCTCCGAAACAAGCAATAAAGCAAGCGCCAGCAAGCAAACAAGCAAGCACGCCTTCTAAAAACAACACCAACAACTGGCAAGGTCTCAGCACCACACGCACGGGGGCCCGAAAGACACGCATTGCAAGTCACAAAACAGAGGAACATACAAAAGTAATGGTCAGCAAGTGAGTCAACCATGCCTCGGCCCAGTGTTCAACAACTTCCCATCCATCCCACCAATTGAACCTGACGGGGCGTCCCTTTACAAGGAAAATTGCATTCCAGGACCCCCCGGTCAGGTTCCATGTTGGCGGAAGGAACCGCAGTGGAGCCATCACAAGTTGATTCATGTTTCCAGCCTTGGATGGTCTTCACCAAACGTATGAGCCGCAAGAGCCGCGCCATGCGCATCATTCCTCAGGACATGCATGCATGCTCGAGCTTGGGAAGGCGTCAACCAAAGAGACCCTGCAAACTGCTCGGCGTCATCTTGGTTTCCACCTTGGAGGTTTCTGGCTGCAAGTTGCTATGCCATGGCATAGAAGAAGTCCCTTCGCTGTTGAGAGTGTTTGTGGGTGAGGGCTCATGGATTTCACCTTGCGCAGCTCGTGGATTTCAGGCTGCGAGCGCGGCTCCCCGCCAATGACCAACGCCAGTGCCACATGGGCTGGACGGCGGGATGGGAAGCTGCCTGTGGCATCGAGCCTAACTTCGTTTGTTCCCAACTGAATGGGTCGAGGCTGCCAACCCTTCGATGATGCTTTGGGAAAAGTCATCACTGGGATAGTTTCCTATTTCGAAGGATTGGATTCGTGGATCATTTGCCGCACGACATTGTCCCATTCCCAGGTCCATCTCGTCGACGCATCAAACATCCCCCCTCTCCCCCCAGTCGCCAGGTGTCGCAAAATCGCGCCGTCCATTTGGATCACGTCCCGCAGGGTGAATTCCGCCAGCCACATGACCACCAGGATCCCATCAAACCAATTCCACCACTCCTGGGGCAACTGGGTTGCGGGGCAAGTGAGATTTCCCTTGTCCATAGACCACCGGAATGCTGTGCACTGGGCACATCTGGCTAGCATCCTGAAGCAATTTAAGGGAGATGCTTGGGGCCAAAATCTACCAGTCAGACACTTCCGAACCCTGCGCCCAAGACCGGGCGACCAATCAGTCCTTGAAGAAGCGCATCTTAAATCCTATGAGCTTGATAATCAGCTCAAGGAGGTAGATGACGCCAAAGACGACCTCCTTAGGAAACGGGTAAGCTCAGCAGGGAATGAGGGAATGAGCCTGGGGATTTCCTGAAAGGAAACCACAAGGGATGGCTTAAAGGGATCATTCCCTCGTTCCCTGCTGAGCACCGGCAAGTAAGCGCAAGTAAACCTCATCCTCTAAGTCTTGCTTCAAGGTTGGAAGGGGGGCTTCCATGAATGGAACAACTTGGAAGCTTGGTGACGTCTTGCACGTCCACTGTGACTGCTCCTGAAAGTTGGCTTGCCAGCTCACTATAGAATAGGCAGATCCTACGGAGAAACACCATTGATACGTCCAATCAGCTTCAGTTCAACAGCTCAACACCCCCACGCTGGGTGAAAATATAGTGCTGGGGATCTGGAGAAACAGCAGCTTGGCTAGAACCTCTGCTCCTTCGCCCTCGTGCCATCCGTGAAAGTGGAGGGAGCCGGAGCATGCTGAGAGCGCGGCAAGGAAGGCGAAAATCGATGAAGCTCCTTGCCAATATTCGCCTGAGCAATCCGAGGAATGATCCTCAAAGTAGCGGAAACCACTCTGGTTTGTAAGTCGTGGGTCTTTGCCTGGGCAACATAGATCCTCTTGTCAGGTGAGCGTGTTCGCTTCTTCCGTCTCCTTTTCGGTTTCCCCCTGCCCCCCGCCCCCCCCCCGGTCTTTGGAGGCTTTCCACCACTCAGCTTGGTGCCTTGAGTCCGCCACCCGAGCCGGACTGCCTTGAGGCTTCGGCTCGCAGGTTGCACGAAGTTGGGGAAGCCCAACTCGTAGCCCCGCTGAAGGCCCATGTACTGCATCTCCAGGGCCATCCTCGGACCGAGCCATTCGAGCTCAAGCTGCAAGCAAACAGAAGGCAGGACATCACCTTTGAGTGGATTCCGGGATTGAGCTGTGCAAATATCAATTCAAATGGAATGACATGGATGCACCGAAAGCTAAGTGATGAGCTGAGCCCTCTCTCATGACTTTTTTCCGCGTGACATGATCTTCCAGCTTGGGCGCACGAAGGTGTTTAAGAGAATGACGCCGCAGAACACGGCATCGAACTGGGTGGTGTGCACGTAGCGTCCTATGCGACACCGGGTTTGTGGCTGGGAGGCACAGCTTTGACCGGGGCAAGTCACGAGCGAATGACAAGGTCCAACTCGCTCGTGTCATCTCAGCATTCGTTCGTTCCATCAGATCCGGTCCCTTCGCGTATAGGCCTCCTCTTGCCGGCCGGCCGGCCGGAGAAAAGAATTGGCCGTGGGTCAAACAATAGGGAAACCCCAAAAATGCTTAACCAAAAACCAAAACCAAAACCAGAAACCGGAAACCAACACCTGAAAGGTCCAAAACCTGGTGACAAAACCAGACTCAGATGGCCCCCGCCTGGATGCCAGAAGGGCAACTCCATGAGGCCGTCCAGCAGGCTGTTCTTCCGCAAGTGAGGGATGTTGTGAGTAACGCCTCGGGTCAAGCCGGCGGGTTCACGTGTTCTGTGTTGGCCTTTTTTCCTCCCCAAGGCTGTGAAGCAACAAGCCCACGGATTGAGAGGCAGTATTTTCCTTTGACATTCAAAGGTAACACCATCACCTCCGGCAAAAAGGGCGCCAAGAGGAAGCAACAGGCCAGATTGGACACCAACCTTCGACACCAATGCTCCCAAAGACCCAAGACCTCTCAGAATCGCGCAACACTTCCCAATCGAAGAAGACGGGCAACCGTGCTCAACCACTCCTCACTGAGAAGTGGTCTGCAAGTGCGATGGGTAACTTCTTTGTCTGGTGGCTGGTGGCTTGGACATTGTGCCCAGATTGCCCAACTACCAGCTCGTACCTCCTGCAACTGGGGTGCAACTTCAAAGACCCACCAGGCAAAACCTGCGAAAGCAGGAAAATTATGTTTCTTCAGACTGGGCTGATTCGATCAGGGCCATCAAGGAGAGTTTCTCAGGCTGCCACACGGCCCCAACCCATCGCCCAAGGCACGGCTGCTGGCGACACTCATCGCCCCTCGGCTTTTGCTCGGGTCCTTGGCCGCAAGTCGTTTTGCTGGAAAGGCCAACAAGGTCACCACGCGGCTTGGGACATCCAGCGGATGGGCGCCCTGCCGCTCTGGATGTTTTTTGGCTCATGGTGGTTGGGGACTGAGTGATGTAGCTTTAGCACTTCAACGGGACGCCACTGGTGGGAATGACGCCGCAGTGCGCTTGTCCAGAAACGAGGGAACCTTCGGATCGCCGGTGTTTTCTTGGGCGATCTGAGAACCCTTTCGCTCGGGGGGCTGCTTCTTTGCCCTCCACAAAGACGAACACGTGAACCCTTCGTGGCCCATTTCTCTTCATGCACCATGGTGGATGCAAACCAAACGGAGGAAGGGACACAAAGAAAGGGGAAGGGCACTTACAAACAAAAACCATTGGGAGGATCTCCGATTTGCTGTGAGTTGAGCCAAGCTACTACCACCACCTTCTTCGTAGCACTGGACTTGGACAGCGTGCTTTCTTGCCGCGCCATCGCCGGCGCGGCACGGGGCGGAGGCGTCTTGTCCTGAGATGTGAAGCTCGTGCCGGACCACTGACCCCTGGAAAGCCAAAACAGGTCACTGGATTTCCCAAAGTTTGCACCTTGCTGGTAATTTTCATGGAGACGATCCCCACTTTTGGAGGTTCCAAAAAGGGACATGGCTCGGACACCCTGCAAAAAGCTCGATGCGTTCCTTTCAGCGGGGAACCAACTGGGAGGAATGCCCCCCTGGCACCTGGCATGGAACGGACGCTTCATGCTATGCCCCCCTGGAGGGGTCAGATCTGCTCGCCTGGGCAACAAAAACGAAAAAAGCAAACGAGCAGAACCATCCCCATCCCCATTATTTTTCCCCCCCCCCCCCCCGTGCGGTGTTTCCGGCCAGCATTCTTCATAGTTTTTTCCGGAACATTTTTCTTCCGAGTTCTTTGGGGCATGGCGCGGCATGCAAAACAAGGCGTCGGCTTCTTTTTTTGCGGCGTGGCCCTGACCGATCGCTTGCCACGTCTCCAGTGTGACGCTCTTCTGCCCAGTTTCTCCGAGTTGTACCGGGCTTAGCCGGGCCGATCTTGCTTTGCGTTTTCTTTCTTCTGGCCGGTTCACGCAGATCCAGACCTGAGTCTCTTCATGTGCCGGGAAAATCGGAAAACTGGGGGGAGATACTCGAAAAAACTGACTGCCATGGAACTAAAGAACGAGTGGCCCAAAAGCATAACATATAGCGAGCGAAGCGGCAATTGTGCGCTCATGTTGGCGTTCTATGCCGTACGCGTTGTGTTTTCTTGTGTGTCTTTCCATGACGATACTTCATCGTTGCGAATTGTCGAGCCGTAGCTGGAAGGGTCTCTCGACTGCAAGTGTTTTTGCGCAAGCTCTCGCAAGTTCTTTGCGCTCGTGGTCTCGGCTCAAATTCGCTCTGCAAGTTTCCCGGCCAAGATCTCCAGTCAGGCTTCTCCGCACAAGTTTCTGTGTGCAACTTCTCGGCGCGCATTTATTTGCTCAAGATAGTCTAAGAAGTTTTCTTTGCGCAAGGCGGGAAACACAGCCAAACTCGGAACAACTCAACCAATGATTCCAGAAAAAACGTGGAAACTGGCCAGAGAAACGCAATTCAGCCAAACAATGATTGCAAGCCTCTGAAGACAGAACAAGTCAGAGAACTGTGTCGAAAAAAGCTCGCAGCGCTGCAAAAACTTGCGAGGCCCAGTTGGGAAAACTGGCAGGAAAGACTCGCCCAACCCGCGTGGAACTGCAGGAATCCGCCTGACTCTATGTCAGACCGCTCGACGCTTTCAGGCGGATTCTTGCGAAATCTAGAAACCCTCGTGGCAAGCACAGCGGCGCCTCAATCGTAGCATGACGCTTCCTGGTTGGGGGGTCCCCTAGATGCACTGCGAATTCTGCCTTTAAAACACCCCATTGCTAGAGGACAGGCGAGCCCCACCCATGCGGCCCCCTGCGCTTATCCAATGGAAGGGATCTTCGCACAGCCGGGCCCGAGGATCTCCCAAATTCGTTGCCAAAGCGTCGTCGCCGGCCTCTCCACACAAGGACCTTGCGTCGGTGTCATCTGTGAGCGAGACTTTCTTCACGGCGGGGTTGGGCACGCCGATCATGTTGCGAACTGGATTCAGGTAGTCCTCTCGCACCACCAGGACCTGTGCACCACTTAAGGCCAAAACATGCTCACGAGAGGCGCCGTTCTCCAGCGGCAACCTGAACAGCTGTCGCTTCCTGCACAAATTTCGCGCCTTTCAGGGTTTTGCGTTTATTAACACCTGGCCGCTGCGCACAGAATGTATTTGAGCGCGCCTGAGCTTGAACAGCCGGCATGGTTTAGCATCGCAGCACGGGTGTCAGTACACACGAAAATCCAATCTCAAGTGCCATTCATGCCCGAAAACAAACTTGGCCATCTCACTGTGCGCAAGTCGAACCCCACCCCTCTGGATGCAAACCTTCACCACAAGACGCGACACTCACTTGCCCACACAACCCGCAAATAAAAGACTAACCTTTTCGGAGCTAAATGAAAATGGCCAAAGGGGGGAAACCAAAAGGCTAAAAGGTCGGCGTTGGACAACTGAGGACAGTCACTCACGCCAGGTGCGTGACTCACGTGCCAAGCGGCCCCAGGCATCTCTGTTTGCTCCAGGCCTAAGCTTCGGCGAAGGCGAAGCTGATAAGTGGTGATGATAAGTGATGAGAAGTATGGAATGATGTGATGAGAAGTGATGAGAAATGATGATATGTGGTGATGATAATGTGATGATAAGTGATGAGAAGTGATGAGAACTGATAAGAAGTCATGAGAAGTGATGAGACGTACAAATGATATGATGAGAAGTAATGAGAAGTGAAGAGAAGTGAAGAGAAGTGATGAGAACTATAAATGATGTGATGGGAAGCTGTGATGAGAAGTGATGAGAAATGATGAGAAGTGGTGATGAGAACTGATGAGAAGTCATGAGAAGTGATGAAAAGTACAAATGATGTGATGAGAAGTGATGAGAAATGATGAGAAGCGGTGATGAATAAGTGATGAAAAGTGATGAGAAGTGATGAGAACTGATGAGAAGTCATGAGAAGTGATGGGAAGTGATGAGAAGGGCTCAGAAATGATGAGAAGTGGTGATGACAAGTGATGAAAAGTGATGAGAACTGATGAGAAGTCATGAGAAGTGATGAGAAAGTGATGAGAAATGATGAGAAGTGGTGATGAGAACTGATGAGAAGTCATGAGAAGTGATGAGAAGTACAAATGATGTGATGAGAAATGATGAGAAGTCATGAGAAGTGGTGATGATAAGTGATGAGAAGTGATGAAAACTGATGAGAAGTCATGATACGTGATGAGAAGACATGAGAAGTACAAATGATGTGAGGAGAAGTGATGAGAAATGATGAGACGTGATGATGATACGTGATGAGACGTGATAATAAATACAATGATGTGATGAGACGTGATGAGAAATGATGAGAAGTGGTGATGATAATAAGTAATGAGAAGTGATGAGAACTGATGAGAAGTCATGAGAAGTGAAGAGAAGTATAAATGATGTGATGAGAAGTGATGAGACATGATGAGAAGTGGTGATGATAAGTGATGAGCAGTACAAATGATGTGATGGGAAGTGATGAAAAATGATGAGAAGTGGTGATGAGAAGTGATAAGAACTGATGAGAAGTCATGCAAAGTGATGAGAAGTACAATTGATGTGATGAGAAGTGATGAGAAATGATGAGAAGTACAAATGATGCGATGAGACGTGATGAAAAATGATGAGAAGTGGTGATGAGAAGTGATAAGAACTGATGAGAAGTCATGCAAAGTGATGAGAAGTACAATTGATGTGATGAGAAGTGATGAGAAATGATGAGAAGTACAAATGATGCGATGAGACGTGATGAAAAATGATGAGAAGTGGTGATGAGAAGTGATAAGAACTGATGAGAAGTCATGCAAAGTGATGAGAAGTACAATTGATGTGATGAGAAGTGATGAGAAATGATGAGAAGTACAAATGATGCGATGAGCCGTGATGAGAAATGATGAGAAGTGGTGATGAGAAGTGATGAGAAGTGATGAGAAGTGATGAGAAGTGGTGATGATAAGTGATGAAAAGTGATGAGAACTGATGAGAAGTCATGAGAAGTGATGAGAAGTCATGAGAAGTGATGAGAAGTCATGAGAAGTACACATGAAGTGAGGAGAAGTGATGAGAAATGACGAGAAGTGGTGATGATAAGTGATGAGACGTGATGAGAAGTACAATGATGGGATGAGACGTGATGAGAAATGATGAGAAGTGGTGATGATAAGTGATGAGAAGTGATGAGAACTGATGAGAAGTCATGAGAAGTGATGAGAAGTAAAAATGATGTGATGAGATTTGATAACAAAAGATGAGAAGTGGTGATGATAAGTGATGATAAGTGGTGAGAAGTGATGAGAAGTCATGAGAAGTGATGAGAAGTACAAATGATGTAATGAGAAGTGATGAGAAATGATGAGAAGTGGTGATGATAAGTGATGTTAACTGATAAGAACTGATCAGAAATCATGAGAAGGAATCAGAAGTGATGAAAAGTACAAATGATGTGATGAGAAGTGATGAGAAATGATGAGAAGTGGTGATGAATAAGTGATGAAAAGTGATGAGAAGTGATGAGAACTGATGAGAAGTCATGAGAAGTGATGGGAAGTGATGAGAAGGGCTCAGAAATGATGACAAGTGATGACAAGTGATGAAAAGTGATGAGAACTGATGAAAAGTCATGAGAAGTGATGAGAAAGTGATGAGAAATGATGAGAAGTGGTGATGAGAACTGATGAGAAGTCATGAGAAGTGATGAGAAGTACAAATGATGTGATGAGAAATGATGATAAGTGATGAGAAGTGGTGATGATAAGTGATGAGAAGTAATAAGAAATAGTAATAATAAGTCATGAGAAGTGATGAGAAGTCATGAGAAATACAAATGATGTGAGGAGAAGTGATGAGAAATGATGAGACGTGGTGATGATAAGTGATGAGACGTGATGAGAGCTGATGAGAAATGATGAGAAGTGGTGGTGATAAGTGATGTGAACTGATGAGAAGTCAAGAGAAGTGCTGAGAAGTACAAATGATGTGATGAGAAGTGATGAGAAGTGACGATAAGTGATGAGAAGTGATGACAAGTGATGACAAGTGGTGATATCTGGTGATAAGTGATGGAAAGTCATGAGAAGTGATGAGAAGTGATGATAACTGATGAGAAGCAGCGATGATAAGTGATGATAAGGGATGAGAAGCGACGATAAGTGATGAGAAGTGATGACAACTGATGATAACTGGTGAGAAGTGAAGAGAGTGATGACAGTGATGAGAAGTGATAAGAAGTGATGAGAGTGATGAGAAGTGGCGACAAATGGTGACAAGTGATGGTAACAACAACAACAACGACGACGACGAGAACAACAACTGCAATAATCAATAGCAGTCGCAACAGCAGCAGCAGCAACAACAACAACAACAGCA